CAGAGGGTCTGAGGAGGTCGGCCCGGCGTCTAAGACTAGGTTTCAGACTCTAAGATTCTACCCGGGTTGGGATTGTATTAGTTGGAATTATATGGACCCCTGGTAAATAGTCGTTTAATAATGTTTTTTTTTTCAGGCCGATGAAGTGTTTAAACCTGTGAACCATGAAGAAAGTATGCATTTCAACGAGAGCCGACTTAGCCTTGGTCTTTCCAGACCAGCCGCTGAAGCTCCTCAGGGTAGTTGGATACACAAGGGTCAGAGCAGGACCAGTTTAGAAGCTGGCCTTAGCAGAACCAGTTTAGACGCCAGTCAGAGCAGGACCAGTTTAGAGACCGGTCATAGCAGAACCAGTTTGGAGGCTGGTCATAGCAGAACCAGTTTGGAGGCTGGTCATAGCAGAACCAGTTTGGAGGCCGGTCAAAATAGAGGTCCTATTGGTTACGAGCCAGGAGTCAAATTGGTTGCACGTCCATCTATTGGTAAAATTTTATTTTACTAATTAATAACTTTTCTCCTTTTTCTAGAAACTTTGATTGTTAACTTAACTCTAGTTTTTTTTATGAACTTGAAATACTAGAAATCTGTAAATTTTTAATAAGACGAGGCAGCTAAGCTGTGAGGGTAAGTCTACCAAAATAAATAAATCTGCCAATTTTGTTCCAAACCTGCCAATTTTAAGTTGAAGCAAGCCTCTCTCTTTAAAGGGAAAGGTTGAGAATCGTTAATGACATTTAATAAGAACATTTAAGAGATGATTTTTGAAGAACTTTACATATGATATTATTATGTCCAGGATATGTAAATGAATATGAGATGATGCATTTACAATCCCGTGGGATGAAGGATTATGAAGCTCAGAGGTTTTACGAGAAATCTCGAATCGCCAATATTAAACCTCATGGTCTGGAGAAGGACTATGAACCTGTTCATTTCCGTCAACACCATCAACCACCCCTACCTAATCCTCCTCATTTACAGCCTTCCCTTCACCATCCTCCTCTTACTCATTCACAGTCCTCACTACCTCATCCTCCTCATTTACAGTCCACCCTTCCTCATCCTCCTCTTTCTCATTCACAGTCCACCCTTCCTCATCCTCCTCTTTCTCATTCACAGTCCTCCCTCCCTCATCCCCCTCATTCACAGTCCTCCCTCCCTCATCCCCCTCTTTCTCATTCACAGTCCTCCCTCCCTCATCCCCCTCATTCACAGACCACCCTTCCTCATCCCCCTTATCAACAATCTTCTCTTCATCATCCTTCTACTTATCATTCACAGTCCACCCTCTCTCATCCCCCTCTTTCTCATTCACAGTCCTCCCTCCCTCATCCCCCTCATTCACAGTCCACCCTCCCTCAGCCCCCCTTACCACCCATGAAACCACGACTGAGTTCCGTGAGCGAACGAACTGAAATGCCACCGAAACGGCCACCCCCGCCATTACCGCCGAAACCTGTACGTGATTGGGTTGGTCCCCCGCTATCCGACGGTATCCCTGTAATGCAAACTAGGAACGGGATATACTTGGGTATACCCGGTGATAAGGGTTATAACGTTAGTTTTGTTTAGAACTCCAAAATATTGTATTCAGCCAAAATCAAAATTCTTTGTAAAAATCGCTCTTAAGTCACCATATTGGTGCCTCTTATATACAGAATCTTAATCAGGGTTTCCTTTGCCATGTACATGACCTCCGCCATTTTACTGCGTGTATGTACTGTGTAATTGCCGCCATCTTGTGAAAATTATTTTTAAATTGTATTTAAAATGTAAAGTGTCATAATAATGTTAAGTTACCAATCATGCAATAACTAGATTAAAATGACATTGTTCTATGTTAAAAATTATATTTTAGTAAATTTTAAATCAATTTTCATTGTTTTAATGTACTAAACTGTTAAGGTAGATTTACTGAATAATAGCCATAGAGAATAGAATATATATATAGAGAGGAATTAACTAGAAAAAAGTGTAAAACGGCCATTTTGTTGTACTGTTTCCATACTGCAGGTGTACTTCACATATTTATGCTATATAACCTGTTGGGCCCTGGAATATCATTTTATAGAAAATCTAAAATTATTGTTAAAAGAAAACCAAATTATGAAATAGGCTGGTTTCATAATTGACCAATGATCATTTCACATAGACTCTATGCCTTCCACTTTACAAACGATGATTTTCCGTTATAACTATAAATCAAATGATGTTTTTATTCACCTAATTCATTATAAAGTTTATTTAACAGTTTAAAAAATTCGAAATTGAAATGGATAGTCTAGGGAACATACTGTATTAATGTACTCTACTGCATATAATTTGTGAACATTTACATGATTTGTACACTTTGAACTCCCTTTCAGGCTGAAAGGGACTGAAAAAATTCATACCGAGAGATTCTTTTAATTCCTCTCTATATATTATTCTATTCTCTATGATAATAGCTTAGGTAGTTAGGATGTCGTACTTGCTGACTGTACGGTACTTCAAAAAGACCAAGTCGGGATATTTTAAAGGGAACTTTCACTTATTTGGATAATTTCATGGTAAACTAATTAGCCTATTAGCTATATATTGTTATTTGTCTTACTTTTCAAAGATATCTATGACCGGAGAAAAAGCCGATTTATCGTTTAGAATTCCAGCGGAAAGGTATGATATCTACAATTAGCTATTAGATACTACAATTTAATTTAATATTTGAAAATTTTTGAAAATCCATGATTATGACAAAAAGAGTAAGTGCAAAGGTATACCTTTGAGCTAGAATTCTGAATGATAAAATGGCTTTTTTTCTCAGGCCACAGTTGACTTTGAAAAGTAAGACTGATGCCAATGAATAGCTAATTGGCTATTAATTTTACCCTCAAATTACCCAAAAAAGTGATCGGTCCCTTTAATGATGTAAACCGGAATGAATTGACATTTGGTAATAAAAATTCAGGATCGGACAACTTTTACCGACTGATATACAGAATTACCCACAAAGGACTGTACGAAACGTAGACTGTCCGTTTCCTCTCATTCATGGTTCACGGCAACTGTTAACTTGTTTTAATCTCAGTCAAACAAATAAATAACCCATTGAATGACTATATTTAAGGCATGAGACTCAAATTAACCTTGGAATCCTTGGAATCATGATATTTTAAGACCTTCAGGTCCTCTTCAGTCTCATCCTCTCTAGGAGAGCTTCAACTCCTCTTCAGTCTCATCCTTTCTAGGAGAGCTTCAACTCCTCTTCAGTCTCATCCTTTCTAGGAGAGCTTCAACTCCTCTTCAGTCTCATCCTTTCTAGGAGAGCTTTAGGTCCTCTTCAGTCTCATCCTTTCTAGGAGAGCTTTAGGTCCTCTTCAGTCTTATTCTTTCTAGGAGAGCTTCAACTTCTCTTCAGTCTCAGTTTCAGAAATTTGCACGTTTAGAGGTTACTTTCACTGAGTGTGAGTGTAGGTTGATTGGTAGAAACAATAATAATAATAATAATGATAATAATCGTGGTTAAACGCCATGTAACGATATGTGAATGCCTGATTAAAAGCTTTGCCTGATCAAGTATGAATTAGACAGGGCCTTAAACTGGGGTTATCTATATATAAATTTGGCTTGTCTGTTTGTCTGTTTGTACCCCCGCGCTGAAACACCGACAAAGTCCAAAACCCATTAAGCTGCATTTGTCATTTTTAAACTACCAGAAAATTATTATTGGATTGAAAGGAATCTGTTATGAGTGACCACATGAAAAGTGAAGGAACCCAAAAACTTCAAAAAATAAGGTTGTTTGGGTGATGAATTTGACGTAATTTGTGGTTTGTTATTTACACTTTTTAGACTAGGTCAAAATCCATTCTCAAGTTTATTTTTATATTTGATATTTCCATAGTCGTCATCTTATATATATAAGTACACTGAAGACGACTTTCGATTTCAATATATTGAGTTCTACAAAGCATAGATAATTTGGAAAGCTTTTTATAAATCAAAACTTAAATAGAAAAGTCGTCCTTATTGTATTTCTTCCAACTTCAGATACATTATACAATAACTTCAAATTTATTAAATTTATTTCATATTTAAAGTAACAGTAATTTTAAACAGGGAATTCAACAACAATGAGAAAGATTAAAAGTTGCAGATATTGTCACTTTAATTACATTTACGTTATTCTGCACAACATACATACATGGATTTAATGTTACTGGTAGTGTTTGCATTCTTACAGAATATTCTTGATTATGTACACGATTTAGTTGTATAGAACTGGTGCAACAGACTTGTTCGTTGTACCTAGAATATTTATGTAGATATATACGTTGCTTGTCTGTCTGGGTGTCTGTTTGTTTGTTTGAACTTCAAAACGGCTGAACCGATCGAGCCTAAATTTTGTGTGGATGATCAAAATTACAAAAATTAGCCTCCAACATAATTGGATTTTCGTTCAATTTTCAAAATCCACGATATTTTTGATAAAATCCGCAAACTTTTTTTTGGTATAATTTTACTATTTATACAAAGAGAAAATGTCCGCAATCTAAATAAAAGATGAGCTCGAAGCGGCGGTCATGATAGCTTAGTTCTTGATAAATAAATCAGTTTAAAAATTATATTTGTTTGCTTTTGTTTTAGAAACCTTGTTATGTACTACAGTGAGAGGAAGAAAACTCGGTATTATAAAGACAACTTTTAGACTAAAGTTATGACTTTAAATAGTCCAATGTACATGAGACACAGGAATTGTGCAGTGTGCACATACCATTTAAATTTAAAATTAATTTTTAAGCTACTAGTAAAACCATGGATATTTAATAGAATGGATACAGGGTGTCCCACGAAACATGACAGTTTGTGAATAGTTTTGAATGGCTTTTCCATATACTGTATTAAATATTAAAGACTTTTGCAGTTTATTTAGTTTAAACAAACTTTACTCAAATATATTTTACTTAGAAATCAATTTTACTATAATATGGATGCCATAAAATATTTATTATTATTCTCTTTGGTAACAAACAACTTTACATATTATGGAAGAAGACATTTTAAACTATTCACCAACTTTCATGTTTCGTGGGACACCCTGTAGAGGTTTATCTATAAGCGGGCCGTGAGTAAAACTATTAACATCAAAGACACTTAAAATATTGCTTCAATGTCGTCCTCTTATTTCATAGTTTTTTGGTTCTGACTGTACAAAACTCTATGCAAATTTTATGCCCTCCTAGTAAAAACCAAAAAAGGCAAAACAATGGATTAAACCTTCTTTACAAATATTTTTCTTATTAACGTTAAAAATCAAATACTGCTTATTGTGATGGTTTAAAAAGTTTTAAAAGTATTGCTTACTATATTAAGGTGAGCTGCCCTCGACATCAGCTGAAATTTATCATTATTATTATTGTTATCAATCTACAGGAAATCAGAGTAAGTTTTTAAGGGGCCCAAAAAAAGAAGAGATTTCATTAAGGATTTTGCTTTCGTCTTTGTAAATGATATTTTAGTATGCTGTATTGTAATTTTTATATTTTGATTAAATATATTCTGTAGTACTCAGAAAAATAAGAAATTCCCGTATACAAACATAATGCATTTGTTTATTCAATGTTAATCTTAAAGAAATTGTACAGACACATCATAAAGCGTTTTGCAGAATAAGAAATAGAAGTCTTTCACGGTTTTACAAAAGTAACTTTATTCTGACCATTGAAATTAGGTAATACACCGCTAATTCTTACAAAGATTATTTTGAATTTGTTTTTTAATTCCCATGTTTATTTAGACACCCTGTAAAGTGTAGCCATATGCATTATGTTAGAAATACGTGGGAGTAAACTCTACACGGGCAGCCGTAGTACATTTGAATTTCCGAGCCGGGTCAACCTTTCCGGTCCCAGTTTGTACTGTATCGCCCGTACATTGGGTAAATAAAGCAGACACTCAATAGGTCTTGTAGCCGGTGCAATAAGGTTGACAGGGTCAGACATTAGGTTGAATTTACTTTTACTAAAGGGTTAGGGGTGCTTCGACCGAATTTTAGTTCCGATGGTGAAGCTATAAAAAGTTTAGATAATATTATTATTTCAATCCGGCATGTTTGAAATTATTTTTGTTTAAAAAAATATTTTACCGTAATCTGAAGTCTGAACTCAATTATCCACATTTTACGCGAAAGTTAACTCAGTATTTAGAAAATATTTCTTTCAAATTGAAGCTAGAAACCTATACCAGGCTTACTGCTTATTGACTAACCTTCGGCAGCTGTCTTTCCATCACTCCAAGTTCCAACCTTTTAAATAAACAATATTAATAGAAGTTAAATATGATGGGCGAACTCTGGGATTTGTCTCTCTACAGTCCTAATAGCAGAAAGACCCGGAATTACTTTAAGATTAATCAGACGACTTTACAATCTAATTTTATAAATATGATTAGTGAAACGATTATCACAAAATAGCCCTAGTCCTGCCATTTCCCAAATATGCTCTGCCTTCCATAAGCATTAAAAATAGCCAGTGCCGAGATATTAATGTAAACTTTACGATGAACTGTTAATTAATCTCAGTTCTTTCTGATTTATGCCTGTTCATAATTCGATATTCTATAATTGCATTAATTTTTGACAATCTTAATGAATAATTATTATCAGGGAGTCCCCCTAGGCCTGCGCACGTTATGACTTCTTCAAGCCGTTCGCTATTATAAAAACGGAATGTTCATTTCATTAACAGTATTTTCCATTTAAAAAAAAAAAAATTAAATTTATTATTAATGGTGTTCGGCAGATATCGTAAACGGTGCTTGCTGTTCTCGAGCCATTAAAGGGAGTGACCGGCTATGAAAGGTTGAACTGAGTATGCCGTGTTGTGGAAAACTTCTTTCGAATTTATTTGAGACATATTAAACTTTTTAAAGATCTGTAAATCCTGAGTTTGAGCGCAAATTCGACGTTCAAAACTCCTATAATTATTCACAAAGATTTGTTGCAGATTTTCTAGAACTATTATTGAAAAGACGACATTTGAAGAATTTGAAGAAATCTACGAATAAATTCAAAGAAAATAAGAAATTCAATATAATAATCAAAACGAAATAATTGATTTTAGCATTGATTTATTGACAAATTTCTTTTGAGAAATATGTTCCTAATAACCATCTAATTAGATTACTGTATAATTTTTACTTTATTTTTCGTTGTCGTTATTTAATCATTTAAAAAAACTAATTCTGAAAACGTAAAGTAGGGGTTTTGAACCTCGAATTTGCGCTCAAACTCAGGACTTACAGTTGGCATAATGCATTAAAAGTTATTTATTTTTAAAGGGAGAGACTGGATAAGTACGATAGTTGAGATGAGAGTGCAGTTTTATAGAGAACATTTTAAGGATTCTTTAGATAAGAGCACAAATTCACTCCTTAAAAATCATTTAACAACAATACTTATATAAACTAATTTGTTGTTTAAGAACAAAAAAAACAAAAAACTTTCACAACAGAATTTTGTAATGAAATTAATGGTAAATCATCATTATATCTAATTCATTATTTTTTTGTTTTATTGTTTGCAGATTCTTTAAATTTCTTCAAATATCGTCTTCGCAATCAAATTCCAGGAAATCAGCGGAAAACATTTTGGAAAAATCAACCATATAAGAAATAAATGGCTGAACAACCTTTTTTTTATTATCAGAGTTAGTTTTATTTCCTGAACCTGTTCTTTAACATCAAATTAGTTTATAGAAGAATTTTTGTTACATTTTTCTTCTGGGTTATCAAGTAATACCAAAAAATCGATTCTTGAGAGAAAATCACTAAAATGGACAGTGCTTGTGATTTTTGAAGAGCAAATTTGCACTCTTACTCAGCAATTAAACACCCAAAAAACGTTTTATAGGCATCAACTGAATCCTAAAAGTTATCTCCATAATACTCAGTGCACTCTCAGTTCAACCACCATACATATCCACTAGCCAGCCAACCATTCTAAACAATATACCTTTCCAGGGAGATTTACGGCTTGCCTTAGTGCCTTAGTGCAACCTTCACTGTTGCAAACAAAAGAATCCCCATTATTAGCTTGTTGATTCATGACATATCCATTAAATCCTGGGTTAAAGCCAGATCCTCCATTGAAACCTGGGTTGAATCCATAACCTCCATTGACATATCCAGGGTTGTAGTCAGATCCTCCAGTGATAACTCCTGGGTTGTATCCAGATCCTCCACTGCAGGTAGACCCGGAGCATGGGGAGCCACAAGATGATCCACCACAGGGTAATCCAGGGTTATAGCCAGAACCACCAGTAACAACTCCTGGGTTGTATCCAGACCCTCCAGTAACAACACCGGGGTTGTATCCAGACCCTCCAGTAACAACACCGGGGTTGTATCCGGATCCTCCAGTAACAACACCGGGGTTGTATCCAGAACCACCAGAGACAAAACCAGGATTGTATCCAGAACCACCAGAGACGAAACCAGGATTGTATCCAGAACCATATCCTGGATTATATCCAGAGCATCCAGATGAGGAACTGCATCCCTTAAAAAGAAGAAAATGAGTTTTCACATTCACCACCAATCTGTTTTTGTTCTTACCATTGATGTAACAACAGGCTTTGGTTTACAAAATGTTGTCTGTCCCTGAACAGCATAGTCGACCTGAAACAGTAAAGGTGTTAATAATGCATATAATAATAATAATTATATTTAACTCTTTTGGGTTTTACCTGAGGTTTGTTCATTGAGCAGCTAGGTTTGATGTTACAAGCAGTGTTGCACAAAGGACGAGAATTTATCATTGGTCTGAAGTATAATGAATTAAGTTGCATACTCACTGGTTCCACACTGATAAAAACCACATTACCTTGATCTACAGACAGAAGAGCAAGGAGAACCTTGGATAGGAGTATAGCTTATGGTAAACATTTTTCCCTTAATTATCAGATTTAAAACTACCATTAATAGAGACACATAGCAGTATGCTTAGATTCAAATAAGAGGGGTTCTTATAGTTAGCCCAAGTAGGAAATAAGGGAAAGGAGTGGGTTAGTGAAGGGATGTAAACTCTATACATCTCTATTCTAAATCTTAATTTCATGATGAGTTTACCGTATATATATTTATACCTGACTGTTCAATGGCTGGTAGTTGTTGTAAGATGGTCGTCTGTTGGGATATATAGGCAACAAGGGATATGTGCTGACAGGGTTGTTGTAGTTAGGTGAGCTAATTGGAGGAGATGGATTGTAGGAGGAAATAGGAGGGTTCATGTAAGGATAATCTGCTGATCTGGCGTACTTGTCCATATTTCCAGGTTGGAATCCATAATTCATTGGTCTAACATATTGGCCAGGGTTTCCTTGTCGGTATACCATATTGGTTGGCTGAAATAGAGTTATCTATGAGATTGTAGGTAGTAAAGCGTAACTACTTTTAAAAATTCTTCTTAATTGTTCTTGTCAGGAGTCATATATTGTGACAGGTCAAAGTTGGGATTGAACATGCATAAGCTGTATTTCCGGGGCACAAAACTGAACTTCCTTTGAACCATTTCTGATTGAAGAAGCAATCCCACCTCACTATGTGATTTTTCAACGCTCTTCAAGGAAGCACAGTGTGTATCCAATTACAGTACACATTATACTACAGGGAGAATGCTGCTTAATATTCCTGTAAGTGGGAGGAATATTACACTACCTGAGAACACAGACTACACAGACTGTTCATACACTCTACCTGGATAGGCTGAGCAGGCCTATAGTGTCCCGGCACGCCATTCTACGGTTCCATGTAATGTTTTTTGACTGACATCTCACGGCCACTTGTTGCATTCAGGGGTTAAGTTTTACAACTTTGAAAGAAATAATCCAATTTTAAACATAAAACATACGTCTATTTAAAAAAGATTTTGCATTTCCTATTCAAAGGATCCTTAAATATCCCTGAATACAGATATCTCCTAATTAGTCGTGTACAGTACTTGTACACAATAGAACATGCTGTGGAAAATATTGCATATTATAGGTGTTAATCGATCTCTGTAACTCAATTATCTCTTATATTGACTTTTCCTTCCTTGTATAAGAATGTTAAGCAGCAAACCTCCTTAAGTATATTGTGTACTGCATGCAAACATACAATGAACTTCCTTTAAGTGAGTCATACTATCAAACAAGGAGGCCAAACTCAATTTTTCTCAAGAAGAAATCTTCAAGCCTGGTAAGGACTAATTATCCTATAACCAGTTATTGTTTTACCAAGCTCTTTCTCTAAGCTTGATGGTTTTTGGTGTAGTTTTGCATTGTTTACCTGTTGCATGTAATTAGGATTGTATCCAGGATCTGTTGATTCTGAATCCTGAAATATTCAACCCAGGTACAGACACTATTATTTTATTCTTAAGTGCAACACTAAGTAAGGAATAATGCTGTGAGAACATAATCAGTTTGAGACGAATTAAATCCATTTAAAAATGGTATGCACTTATAGTTGCTTTGCAAAATGTTGAATCTTCAAATGAGTGGGTTTGCTTTAGAGCCATCCGAATGTTAGAAAATGACATTAAACAGGGTGCGAACAATACTCATCATGATATTCTGGGTAAAAACTTACCAAAGGAACAACATTTCCAGAGTCTGGAATTTGAAGCGTTCCATAACCTTCCATGTTATCAGCTTCATTTGGATTCATATCATTACCATCATAACCCTAAACATAAAGATTAGAACCCCTGTACACAACCGAACTAAAATATACCTTAAAAGACCACATTTAATGAATAACGAAAGTTAGCTTAACAGAGCTGGAAACTCTTTATTTATGGATATTAAGATCAATGTTTGATCTTGATCTTTTGTTAATCTACAGATTAATTAAATCCTTATTTGATATCCTGGGTGGTAATTGTACCCAGTCAAAGGGTTGAAGGAAGCCTTGCTTTGTGGAGGAATAAATGAAATGAAGAGATTAATCAGTGATCCTCAAATTAAAAGTATCCACAGTTGATATCAAAACCAAGCGGACTGGATAATGAGTATCCAAAACACAGAAGTTCCCAGACATAGTACAAGCACTTCTCTTCCGACCCAGTTGAAACATATCTACGAGATTCTACAATGACTCCCTTTTATCAGATCTAACATTTACCTGGTATCCTGATCCATAACCGGGTCCTCCCATCTGCAAGTAATTTCAAGAAAAGTAAGATATAAGTAAAATATTAGGCGAAACAACACTGTTTTCAAGAATAACTATGCATCATTGAACCAGTGCGATGGTGTGATGCATTTAGGCTAGCGCTATGCTAGTGCCGTCTCTTTCCATACGTTGTACCAGTGGAATTGAGTCAATGCATATGTGTTAGTAGCCAAGTAGGGAACCCCTGGATCCCATGAGCCTCCCAGATTTGTTAGGCAGACCAAGCCTCGGCTATGCAGTAATTAGCATGCGCAATACATCAAAATGTGCTTGTGTAATACAGTATAGGAGGTTTTTTAACTTCTGTTTTTAAGTTTAAATCAAAGATTTTTTTACAACTTTTTGGACATAGTGGCATGAGAGGTTTATCTAAGATGAGAAGTATTTAATAATTATCATAAACAGTGCCTAATTATGACTAATAAAGTGGTGTATAAAACACTTTTTACACGAAAAGGAAAATATTTAGAGAAAAAAATTTGAATTTCATCTTTTATAATCTTTGATTTAAGCGATACCTTTTTTTGTAGTTCAAATTAAATCTAGAAAATTTGTATCATTTATTTAAATCTTAAATTTTTTTTTTTAAATGTATTGTTTAAATCAAAGATTACAACAAAACAAACTAAGTTTACTCCAGAAATATTTCTCCAAATATCTTCCTTTCTGCGTAAGACATGTTTAAATTTTTAATATAAATCTTAAAAACTACTTTATGAGTCCATATATGTTTCTAATCATGACAATCAATAAATAACTCTAATCTTCAGTTTCTTATGCCAATACGTCAAAAAAAAGTTGTTACAATTTTTCATTACACTTACAAACCAAGATTTTAAAAAAAGCTGTGCTGTATGGAGGAGGCTCGTTTACTGCATTGCTGAGGGAGCTGAGGCACGGTCTGCATTTCAAACTATTATACCTGGTTTGGCATAGCTCCATAGTTATTCTGTCCATATTGGGCATCTGCGTCTGCCTCTGCTACTGGTGTTCCTATAAGTATTTTTCTTGTTGAAATTTTTTAAGTTAAAAAAAATTTAATTTTTAAATTTTTTTTGTCTGATAGGAGATACAATACATTATTATAATTCGTCAAACTATCTGAATTAATCATCATTTTTCATGCAATGTCTTCCTCTCAGACCATTCGGTCCGTTTTCTTGGCAATTTTGATAATGTCGAAATATGCAACAAGTCGGCAAATTCATCAGTTTATGATTTCTCGCCATACTGCACCCTTTTTGAAGTATAATTTAACCTATTTAACCACTGTATTGTACTTATTAGGGGGGGGGGGAAGTGTCCATTGGTCATTTAAATATAACTCTGTTTTTGCCTTCTTCAATCTTAATAATGCTAGTTTAAACAAAGAAGTTTAAGGAAATTTAATACTAATTCACTAATTTAATAATGAGATTTTGTAGAAAAGAATTTTTATTTACAGATAAACAAATTTAAAAGCAATCTAGTTTAATCAGGGAGTAAGGAATAGAAGGGAGATATAACTGACGCGATTCGCCCTACCATATGATTACACATGCTTTGCAGACGGGTACTCCATTTGTATAAGAAATATTTGTCTGATGTACAATTACCGCGTATACAATAACCTATTTAAAGTGAAATCTTTTTTTCTTTAGAGGAAATCACAAAAAAGTCTCATTATCCTAAATAGGGTCCATGATCTTAGTGTCAGATGTTTTGAAAAGAAAATTAATGAGAAAATAGTTTCCTCTGAGAACATGACATGAAAACATGAAATGAAAAAGACAAAACAGTAATTGTTTTGATGATTTACCTTGTACAAGAGAGAGACAGTATAATACTGGCAGCAGAGGTAGTAATTTCATTTTCAGAACAGATTCTGAAAATACAAAACCTGAAAAATAATTTAAACGAATTACAAAGTTTGAAAATTTAAGAATAAAATTATAAAAATTTGCATTGTTATTCCAATCTGCCTCTTACTACCTACAGGGTTACCCTCAAAGGATGAGGCTGTAATGACGACCTTAAACTCATGAAATGTAACAGTTTGAATGGAAAATTTGATCTTTTGTAAATAATTTAAATAATCTGAAAAATGACTTGGCAAAGAAAGAGAAACAAGTTTTAAGTTGCAAGAAACCAAAAATATAAGAAAAAAGTCTGCAAAACTTGCGGGTATCTTCAATGATTAAGTTAAGAAAAGTTTAAACTTTTCATTTTATCCCATATACTAGTTTCCAATCCTATTTGTTTTCCTAAGTATTTTACCATACGTGTTTTAAAGCTTTCAACATGTTGCCCTGTTGCTTAACATATTATTTTAACACTTCTCAAACATGTGCACTCTGCAGTTAATAAAAAATCAGCACATTTTCATCGTACTTCTTGTGGGACTTAAAACACGTGGAATTTACGTTAAAATTAGATTAGATATCAGTAGTTTCATGTTTTTTTGAAGTGACCCCCCATGGCATGTCTGATTCACAACGGTACTGCTACCTGGTAGTGTGTACCCCTCAGGTGTACCCTATCTTTAAAACTTTGTGAAAGAAAACAAATTAGTGAAAAATCCTTGTCTTTTTCTCTTCTGTAAAGGTCACCTGCAGATATACCTTTTTTGTGCAACTGTTCTGTAAAGTGTTTTTTCAATATTTTTTGAAAATTTGTAATTTTTTTGGTACTCCAATGGCCGAAAAAAATCCACGAACTTTTTTTTCTCTCAAAATCAAAAGTTCAGAAAAGCAAAAATGTGTATATAAATTATTTCTATCGAAATCTAAAATTTTAAAAAGATTGAATCACAGAAAATTCGCAAAATTGTAAGAAGAAAATTCGCAATTTTTATTTCTGGTCTAAGTTTTAAGGTAAAGTTATTCAAATTCTATAGTTCCTTTCTTCTTAGTATATTCTAAAGTATTTAATATACGCTGTTCAGTTGAAACCTTGAGAACCATTGAGCAACAATTTTTCCGTAAAAATTAGACCAGAACTGAAAATTGTGAATTCTTCTTATAAAAATTCTGAAATTTTTCTGCGATTCTGTGATTCAATCTTTATAAAATTTTAGATTTCCATAGAAATAATTTATTTACACATTTTGTTTTTCTGAACTTTTGATTTTGATAGAAAAAAAAGTTCAAAAAATATTGAAAAAAAACACCATTCAGGAGAGTTGCAAAAAAAGTACAATTTTACACAAGCCGCCGCAAATCACACTTTTTTTTGACTCACCCTGTATAGAAGAGAAAAGGAAAGAATATATTTCTTTTACTTTGAACTTTCAAAGCAAACATTTAAAGAATACAGATTTGAAATATTAGACGAGTTGCAACCTTCCTGGATTTTTGAGATGTCCTATTAGGGATGTTACCAAATTGTTAGTTACCAAATTGTCAAGTTACCAAATTATTATTTACCAAATTATTAGTTACCAAATTGTTAGTTACCAAATTGTCAAGTTACCAAATTATTAGTTACCAAATTGTTAGTTACCAAAATGTTAATTACCAAATTACTCGTTACCAAAAATCCGCACATCAAAAAATATCCGAGTTAAATATAGCAGGTCCCATAACACTGATCTATTTTTCTTATTTTTAATATTTATAATACACCCTCCGGATTGTAAGGTCTCTGCATTACTGCTTGTATTTTCTGAATGCCCAAATGTTTATGCGTAGAGATTGGCCTATAATCACTATCAGGGTGAAATAGGCAAAATTAAACTGCATGGTTTCTTTGAATTTCAGACAATGATTAAAAGAAAAAATATTAGTAAATTTTTTTAATAGTTTTGCAAATTAGTTTGATATATTTAATCTTGTATCCCTGTATATTCTAAAACAGTTCTTATAGTGTAAACAACATTTTTAAAGGCACATGTATTTATCTTGTAAAGAAGAGATTGGGGATTTCTTGAATGAAGATGACACAGATCATAGAGATCTAGACTCCTATTTAAACTTGCATCAACTTTTAAGACCGGATCGACCTTTAAATGTGGAAACGCCATGGTCCTTGATTTTACCTCGCTTAACTCCAAAGAGAATAGAATATATATTAGAGTGGAATTTAGACAATCACTCGATATGAATTTTGTCAGTCCCTTTCAGCCTGAAAGGGAGTTCAAAGTGTACAAATCATATAAATATTCACAAATTATATGCAGTAGAGTACATTAATACAGTATGTTCTCCAGACTATCCATTTCAATTTCGAATTTTTTAAAGCTGTTTAATAAACTTTATAAAATGAATTAGGTGAATAAAAAACATAATTTGATTTATAGTTATAACGGAAAATAAGTAAAAGGCATAGAGTCTATGAGAAATGATCATTAATCAATTATGAAACCAGCCTATTTCATAATTTGGTTTTCTTTTAATATTAATTTTAGATTTTCTATAAAATGATGTTCCAGGGCCCAAAAGGTTATATAGCACAAATATGTGAAGTACACAGCTGCAGTATGGAAACAGCACAACAAAATGGCCGTTTTACACTTTTTTCTAGTAAATTCCACTCTAATATAAATTCTATTCTCTTTGCTTAACTCTTATACTGTTTTGTAGCTCTAGACATGTACATTTTAGAACTGTTAATCACTTGTTTGCAGTTTCAGATTAAAAGGAGTAATTGAAGAAATGCTTTTAGATGTTTAGCGCAAGAATTTGAGACTTTTAGATCACCGTGAGATATATAAATCTATAACAGAATACTCATATTTTTGCTTTTGATTGAAGAAGTACATGGAAAACCTTTTCGCCTGATGTTCAAACTGCGTATTCTAGTTTACATTTAAATATTTTAACGCTAATTAATTATCAACTGTACTTTTTGACTCCAAGTCATTTAACTTCACGGTGATTTAGATGTTCTGGTTTTAGTCAAGCCCTCCTTTTCGACATAAGAAAGCTCTTTATATAACCAACATTAGAATTTTTGGTTTCGTTTGTGTAATAAGAGATTTTAGAATTAGAAAATTTTTAAATGTGTTTTACATTAGGATTTTAGAACACACATTTATTTAGAGTATAACGTACGGACAGATCTAAATTAATTTTTTCGGGAGGCTTTTATGAACCCCGAGTGTGTTTTTAAAAATGTGTGGGTGTACATTTTACTTTCTTAAACTTTTTACTTAAACAATACGTTCATGCAGATTTAGGAGTTTTAATTCATTATCTCAGACAAGATGAAATTTTATATCCACATCCAATAACTGATTCTAATTATCTGAAATGAACTTTAAAAAATCAAGAAATCTAAGTCCAGGTACAGGTTTACCCATAAATTATGAGACTTCAGAGACGACTGTACGGAAATTATACTTTCTGTTTTCTTTTTTTGTGATGGCTTACCACTGTGAACAAACCATTAAATACGCCATTAACAGATTTTATTGAAGGCAGAAGACTTAATTTAACCTAATTGACAAATTACAATTACAAACACAAAAATATTGTAAAATAGGTCGCCAAGCCAACTTACACAATTTACAATTACCCAAATTTAGAATTTACTCTGGAGCATTATCTATCTATCTATCTATCTATCTATCTATCTATCGAGCACTTTATGCTTAACTTTGGTTTAATCGAATTCATGCTCAAGAAACGTCCTCACACCCAATCAGAGAGTTCCATTATTCTTTTTAACCTAAAATGAAATAAGATTTTCATTTTCAAACATAAATTTCCCTAAAATTAGGTCGAAAATTAATCAAAACGAACGAAAACTTCTGTCGATGTTATAGATTTTTTAGTTCGAAAAATACAGTAAAATCTTCAGCGCTTCCAACTGTTCAAATCTAAACCTTTCAGATCGTCATTAAAGACTTAATTTTTGTCTGCACAATGCAAATCTGTATAATATAGTAAATATTTAAATAAAAGTACAAAATAATGAAGTTGCTTTATCATGTTTAATTTCATTAGCCCAGATTTTCAATGAAAAATTATCTAACATTTTCTGAGTTAGCGTTTTATGTAATCCTAGGATCAAGATCGGATTTTATGAATTGTGAGAAGTCGTTGAACTCCACTGAGACGGTTCAACCATGTAACAATTATGGCAACTTTATACAATCCTGTTCGAGTTCTGTTTAACCCAATATTTGTGGCGCTCTGATTGGTTGCAATTGTTAGCGAATTTTTCCCTATCAGCCAACCGAACGCCTACGTACAGTTAAACCCTAAATGAGCCATGCATTGAAAGAATTTATCAGATGTCGTCTTGACAATTTTTCAATGGGTTTTACTCTATTTTACATAAATCTCAGTATTTGCGAAAATAAATAAATAGCCATGAATATGCGGGAACAGTTTAATATAATTATTTAATTAAAAAACTAAATATCTGTAACATTCCATTATCAGAAAGTGAAGAAAACGACATTTAATGAATTCTTTCGATGTATGGCTTATTTAGGGTTTAACTGTATAAAAAACGATTTCTTCGTCCAAAAAGTAGCAAGATATTATAACTATATTTATTAAAAATTGGTTTTAATCAATATAACCAAAACAGCAATGAATTTGGTCAATCTTGAAGATATTGCAACGAGGCACTGTCTTTTATTTGCATTGATACTTTTGATTTGTGTGAAATGCGGAACTAACATCTACTTTTTTATTTACAGAGGTTTAGTTCATCACCATCACCGAATAATAAAACTTGATTTTACACACAAAATGCTGCACATAGAGCAAATTTGATTTTATAGTCTTAATTAATCCTATATTTATTAGGACACCCTTTCTAAAAACTCATAATTTCCCAAGCTCTGATTTTTTTTAAATTTTATTTTGATAAGATTTTGCTGACATCACTTTAATGATTGACATGACTGATATATTTATGAACATGTTTCATGTTTTAAAATATTTACAAATATAAACTCCGACTTTGCATAATCTTATGCTGTATATAAATATTAAATATGATTTTCTAATCGGAGTTCTTTAAGCAGGATTATCTTGCAATTTTAGGGCTGGGAACGTTTTCTATGCGTTTTATAAGGGTTTGTAAAGTCAACGTTTAGGCAGGCGTTTCTTTAAGTTTCCAAGACAAAGGGTAAGATATAAGCACTTTATACATATCAAACTCAATAAACTGGAATGGAAACTTCTGACCAAGGTCCTTTTTCTAATCTCCTTCAGAACTCCACAAGTTGCCAGGTCTGGATCATCATAGCTCCTCCATAAAAGAATTTGAAAAATGAAGATAAACTTTTTTGATAGATATAAATGTTTACTTGATAGCGCTTTAATTAGACTGCTTTTGAGTATTTTTATGCTCTCAAAATCCTAACTCATTGATTTTTGATACAAAAAATACTGTTTTCAATAACTATAGTTTATTGCCAAATGAAAATTAGAATTTTTTTTATAAAAAATGTATCATAAAGTAAAGCAAATTAATCTATATAATAAATCTATTCGCTTAAATATTATATGCTAGCTGGCCAAACGGCTAAACCAAATTGGCTGAACTTTTTTGAGAAAACTCAAGGGTACCCTAGGGATAATATAGGCGAAAAAAATCCACAGGCAACGCCGGGTACTTCAGCTATTTCTATAATAAAACTAATTTAAAGGATTTTTTTCAGTCTAGTGTTTTTATTAATTATCTGGATTTTGTAAGTAATCCAACACATGTCCTGGATATTAATATCAAATAATTTATTAAAAACTTGTAAAATAAGAAGTTGAATTTGTGTGAATTTTATAGTATTATTGAAGGTTCATTTTACAGTACGTTCACGATATAATGTCGAATGAGCCTACTATCCTAGAATAGAATCGTTCCTTACTTTTATTTTTAGTTAACCAATTTACATGCAGTATATCGTGCACTGAATACCAGGTGTGATTAATAAGTTTCGCTAAATTTTCTTCAGGAATACTTCTATCAGTCTCAATTCTAATTTTTTAAAGTTCACAATATCTATACCGGATACATTTTTGCCCAGGTTTGCGTCAAGCAGATTGTTGTTGTGATGTAAGGAGAGTTCTCCTGAAGGTGAATTAGCTTCGTTTGAAGGATTATGACAGGTCCGGGCGGGAAAAGACCATCAATGTCCCAAAAATGATCGAAAATATTGAGAAATTTTCAAACCATATTTTCAAGGGTTCAAGAATTGCCAGATAGCTTGATATATGCTTTTACATGCTTTTACATTGTAAACAAAGTTGTAAAGCAAGATTTGAAAATGACAAAGATCCGGGTCAAATTTGTCCCAAAGTCTCTGACATAGGACATAGAATTATGGATCTCAAATGCATTCAATACTAGATCTGTCTTTTCTTTTGATCGCTATTAAAGTCTAAAACAGACTCTGATGGATCAAGCATAGACTATACAGAAAATGTTATTGCTGTGAACGCTCCTTACATTACAACAAAGGTCTGATAACCCGGTAAAGATATGCTGAACTTAAAAAAAAAAAATTCAGGTCGGAGACTTCTAAAAGTACCCCAAATTTTTTCATTGAAAGTTATTGATCACACCTCGTACAAACATACGCTAACTTCCATATTGACAAACATTTAAATTCAGAGATACTCATAAGGGAGTCCAGTTTTGGCAGGTGGAAATACAATGGATTTTTCTTAAACTGAGGGCCATTGCAAATTAATAGTTGATGTGGTTACTATTATCCCCTTTAGTCTTTCTTTCTCTTTTTAGTGTAATACAATTCTGCCTTTTCTATTTCTACATAATTTAACAGAAAAACATAATTTATTTTAAATATATATGTTATTCATAACAATATTTTCTGTTATCCCAGAATAGTGTATTGTTCCACTATGTTTCCTATCAATGAGGAACCTTTCCTGGAACATAGTTCCTCTTGTCTAGTGCTGGTTCCAGGAGGAACATATGTAAACATTGTTCGTTCTGTACTAGCGGATGTCCAGCCAGTTTATTTATAAAATCCTAAACATAAACTTTAAATAATATAACGTCAATTCTTTATTCATAAAGCCAATCTATTAAATTCCTTTAATGATGCAATTTTAGAATACAGTCGTCCTTGTATATGTCAAGATAATGAAGACGACTTTCTATTTTAATTTTGATTTCTGCCAAGCTTTCAAACAGCAGAGACATCATTAACAATTAACATGTAAACTAACAGCAGAGACATCATTAACAGTTAACATGCAAACTAACAGCAGAGACATCATTAACAATTAACATGTAAACTAACAGCAGAGACATCATTAACAATTAACATGTAAACTAACAGCAAAGACATCATTAACAATTAACATGTAAACTAACAGCTTCTTTTTGTTTACTTGTAAACTTGTAATTTGATAAATGCTTGCTAAGGATCAAAGCATTATTAATAAAAAGTCGTCTTCATTATATTGATCACCGACCACTGCTCTGTAGCAAATTTGGTTTTTATCAGGGAATAGGAATAAAGGGAAAAGAAATGGCGCTGGTCTGCCATGAGAAAGCCAGTCGCACTGCTTTGCAGACAAATTCGGTAAACTTTACACACTCTCTTTTGGTACAGACACACAACATGATTTGCAGTCAAGGAAATTGCAGAACAATGTTGTCAAGCTTGAATAACGACTAGTTTACTGTAAACTTTAATCAAAATATATTCTTTGCACGAAAATTTGGCTTATAGTGTTGACTTAAATACATGAATAATTTACTACATGTATATTAAACTTATTTTCAAGTAAACAATTATCAATAAACAAATGTATTCTCCTAGAAAGTGCAAATACCGAGATTCGTATGTACTTTATATACCTACAGTACACACCTTCGGTTCGGTAAACTTTACACACACTCTTTTGGTACAGACACACACACATGACGTTTCCGCCCCCTGGTTTTTATACAATGTAATGAGTGTCATGTCCGATTTCCAATATATACCCTTTAAACTTCTATCTGTGTAAACAGTGAGGAGGATATTTTTCTTTTTATCTTAGGACATGCTGATTTCTACAGAGACGCCACAAATGGAAATTATCAATTTTCAGTGAAAAATAGGGATATATCTCATTAATTTTTAATTTAAAAAAAGAGTCTGTTAAAGAGGGTTAATGGACTGTTACCTCTAACCCTGTTTTCCGTTCTTCAATGAATTCTATTTCAAAAATACCGTCATCATTTTTCACAAATGGAATTTGTCTGCAGTTATATTTTTCTATTTGTTTTACAAATCATGCAGAACACTTTTTGAACTCATATTTTCTAAAATTTGATATCTTTGCAACCTGATGTTTCAATCTTTATTATATTTTATTATAGGATTGTCAAAGTTTAAAATTTCAGAGGCTTACATCGACAAGTTGAAAGGATAAAAGGACTAGAAAATATTTATTTTCTTGAAATCAAAATTTTTAAAAGTATAAAAATATTCCTAGTTAAAGCTTTCCCCGGGAGCCCTGGTAGGGTGATCTGAACAGATCTCTCCAGCTCGTCTCTCAACCACTACATTTAAGAAAATATATTCACAAAGCCATTTCTTCCTTAATGTCCTATTTTTTGTAGTACTAGGCTGTTAGAGCGCTTCGCGCCCATCTTCTATTTAAATTGTGAACATGTTCTTTTTGTTTACATTTTAAACAAAGAAAGAAAAAATTCGCGGATTTTCAAGAATTTAAATTTTTTTACAAAATTAAAAACCTTTAAAACACATTTTTTAAAATTTTTATCATTCATAAACCTTCCCTGTGGTCACGTGATGTCCCACAAAAAATGTGGGCCCGATCGGTTCAGTCGTTTTGACGTTTATTGGATACAAACAAACAGACAGACAGACAAGCCAAATTTATATATAGATTTGCTGTTTTTATCCAGCTAAAAGTTTCACCAGTAGTTTTTAAAATCAACTTATTAAGTTAGGGTCTGTGTACCCTGCACAGTTGCATTTCAATTGGACTAAATAAGAACATGACTTGACTTAAGTATTTTACAGTTTATGGGGTTTCACAGCACATTTTTCTGTTTAAATAGACATTTATTAAACATTTCCTTTTCACACTCTTCTGCCGCTTTTGTAATTGTAAATTGTCGGTACAGTCCAAAGTAGGACTTCAAAGGTTAAACACCGGTGGAGCGTGTTTTAAAATTATTTTTGAGAAACTAGTACACGACTAGTATACAACTGTATCTAGCTAAATATATATATAGTAGTAATCTCTGTTGAAGTTTGTTTGTCCGATCATAACTCAGGACCTCTGGACCGATTTGCCTCAAATTTTGATTGGGGGAATTCGGGAGAACCACGGAAATGTTTTGATTTGAGTGGGTCGAATTTTACATGGAAAAAAAGCTTAAATCTTAATTTACGGCCAAGCGCGGGTAAACGGTGGAGGTAACTGTGAGTACCTAGGCCAACGCTGGGTTCTCCAGCTAGTACAATAAAACATGGTTTAAGATAAAACAAATATATTAATTACATCCTGATTTTTTAAATAATTAAATTTCACCTTAAAGTCTGAATATCGTCGCCTCACTGTTGATTCTTTAATCTTGAAGACGGGTATATTAGTTTTAGTGCTGAAATATATTAACATATTAGCATATTAACATATTAACATATTAACATATTAACAAATTAATATATTAAAATATCAACATATTAACATATTAACATATTAACATATTAACATATTAACATATTAACATATTAACATATTAACACTATAACACATATTAACATATTAACATATTAACATATTAACATATTAACATATTAACATATTAACATATTAACATTTTTTTGTGCTGAAATTAACATAACCATAAAATAAAGCTTATAGCTCATATACATATAGTTGTACGTATGTATGTATGTATGTATGTAAGCAAGGGTGTACGTAAGGATGTGCAGTGTATGTATGTATATATGTTTACATAGCTGACCAAACGGCTGGACCGAATTGATTAAAATTTTTGAGGAAACTTATGGGTACCCTGGGGAAACAGAGGCTAAAAAAAATGTTCTCCAAAAATATTTTTTTTTAAATCGAATTTTTTTTCTATTCGATTTAAAAAATAATCCACTATGTAACGCCGGGCACTTCAGTTAGTGTCTAATAAAGCTCTTCGCTCATATTTAAGAACTCAACTGTATGGAACCATAGATATCTATGTATGGAACCCGAACATAGATATCTATGTATGGAACCATAGATATCTATGTATGGAACCCGAACATAGATATCTATGGATGGAACCCGATTATAGATATCTATGGATGGAACCCGAACGTACATATATATCTATGGATGGAACCCGAACATAGATATCTATGGATGGAACCCGAACAAAGATATCTATGGATGGAACCCGAGCATAGATACCACATAGAACCTCTTTTTAATGAAAGTGAATGATACGTTTTGAAGGGGATCGGTCTCATTTTTGTCTTAGAAAAAATCAAAATTGATAAGTGTTTGTCACCTGGAAAGAGGTAAATTTTTTTAACATTTTTTTCTCTCTAAAATCAGCATAGCCCCTTTGGATTATTTAAAGACAATTTAAAAAATGTTTAAACTTTTAATAAGATTTTTGATTATTAGTTATCAATATTTGTCATCTTTACATCATTAATCAAAAATTTGACGATGGGAATACATTTATATTCATACTTTGCTCGTCACAAAAAGTCCCAAAAGATTCGTTCATGAAAACATTTTCACAAAATTTTTCAATAAAATTGAAACAGTTAATAAAATCTTTTATTTGTACTCTTTGGGGGAAGAATTAAATGAAATAGTTTCTTTGAATCGTGATTTTTTCTTTGTATTTTTTAAAAGGAGCTGAGTTTTTGCCACAAACTCGCATTTTCTAATCCAAGCTGTTGGTGCAAACCTGTCCTATTTCAAACTTTTATCATTTGCTGTATTGTAATTAATATTTTTAAATAAAAAAGGTCTGGGACACTTATAGGTTGCACCAGGAGGGATGATAGTTCTCTACCTGTGTGCTCAGTTAGCTGTACTGTACACTTACAACTGTTTACTAATATTGATATACTATAAGTTAGGCCAGAATCAACTTATAATAAACAAATATGCAGTACGCTCTCATTATAGTTTATGGCCTATAAAATTAGTAAAGGATTAACGTACATCATCACTCTATACACTATAACCACGTTGCGTTGCACAGACATAAAGATTAGAAAATCGGTTTGTGGCAAAAACTCAGTTCCTTCCCAGAAGGATAAAATAAATGGTACCTAATTACCTAATTACCTAATTGCATAATTACCTGATTACCTAATTACCTAATTACCTAATTGCATAATTACCTAATTACCTAATTACCTAATTAACTAATTACCTAATTACCTAATTACCTAAATACCTAATTACCTAATTACCTAATTACCTAATTACCTAATTACCTAATTGCATAATCGGTGAACCTCTGTCTTCCCTCCCCGTAGGTTTTAGCATCAGTTACAGATATTTCAAGATAGTTAGCTGAAATTTAAATAAACATTTTAACATTTTAAGATTATTTTTGTCTTTGATCTTTCTGCAAGCCTTTTATACGTTTTGACAAATAAAAATAAAAATAATATTTTGTGGAATTTTCTGTTTTCATTCTGGTGCATTTCTAATCCAATCTCAAGACACAGTTGTCGTCGTATATATCAATACAATAAAGACGACTTTCTAATTATATTTTAATTTCTACCAAGGTTTCAAACAGCATAAACATTTAAGCAAAGAGAAGTTGTGTATTGAGAGGAATCAGTTCCAGGTTTCAGGTTTCCTCTCAATACAATAACTTTTATATTGATAAATTCATCTTGGAAAACATCTCCACACCTGTGAAAGGTGCGGAGTTTAAATGGAAACTACCTGCTTTGTATTGTAAGACAGACACACAGTGATGTCGTCTTTATAAATATATCAAAACTAAACAAGTTGATTCCATTTTTTCACTTGTTCACTTTTAAACTATTGTAATTTGAAAATTTCTTGTAAATCATTATTTTTGAAAATAGTCATCGCCAACCACTGTCAGAAAAACTTTAATTATTTGTGCAAAATCACTTTTTAACTTTTTTGCTTTCCTGGCTTTGTTTAACACTCAAGAGTGAGTAAATAAGTTTATAACTTATTTACTCATCAAAGGGTCGTGTTTTACTCATCAAAGGGTCGTGTTTTAAAATGGAAAATGTCAAACTGAAAGTAATTAAACCTTTAATGTCTTTTATTTATTTAATCACCTATTATCTCAGTCTCAAAATAGTGGGTTTACGTTTAACCCATCGTGGACAATTCCCTACCTGGTGCACTGTAGGCATCATCCAGGGATTGTTTATTGGTCGCTATCCGCTGAAAAAGAAAAATGTCAAAAAGCTCTTCTTAGTTTTAAAACAAATCCTTGTACGAAAATTTCATTTCTTAACTTATTTTTTTGTTGTTTTGTTTTTAATGTTGTGGTTTTTTTTTGGTGGACTATATTTGTCCCTACATACAGTGAAACCCTTAATAACGAATACATCGGAAGAATTTATCAAATGTCGTCTTGACAATTTTTCAATGAGTTTTATACTTAATTACGTAAATTTCAGTATTTGGGAAAATAAATAAATAGCCATGAATATGCGGGAACAGTTTTAAAGAGTTCCTTATAATCATTTAATTAAAAAACTAAATATCTGCAACATTCCATTATCAGACAGTGAAGAATACGACATTTTATAAATTCTTTATTAAGGGTTTCACTGTATGTAATTTGGTAAACAAGCGGACAACATGTTATACAAATCCTTTCATTAAAACTATTTGATTAGGGATAAAAAAATTACAAAAATAAAGTTTCCCATATATTGTTGCAGCTATGGTTTAATTTTAAGAAGAAAACTAGCTCAGGAAGAGTAACCTTATTTAGAGTTGAAAAATTTTAATAATTCTTTTTAATAATTTAAAAAATATTCTTTTAAATGATTCAAATTATAATTTTTAATGATTTTGACCTGAGTGGATTCATTCATACTGAACTTGAATCTGTATTCTGCCACCTTGAAGTTGTTTCTTCTGAAAATTTTAAGGAAAAGAATAAAATAATGTATTGTCCCAAATTTATCATTTTCCCACACAATTTTCTTTATAATTTAAAAATATTTTCAATTTGCAAACTGATTAAAAAAAGCAGCAAAAAATTTAACTTTATGTAATTCAGAAGAAAGGGACTAAACATGTCTTTTAAAAAGTTATTTTTGATCATCACTTGATTTAATAACCATCAATTTTTATTATACAGTGAGATATACAGTGAGAACCAGAAAACAATGGAATCGTCGTCTTCTTATTCTTAAAGTTTCAGATTTTGTAATCTGAAACTGAAATATTTCTAAAGCAAACTAAACATTTTTAGAGAAAGTTTAGAGGGAAGGAATAAAGACGACATTTGTTTCAGAGTTTGCTGCCGGCATGAATCTATATCTTTATAAAGTAGTAATCTCCGTTTGTTTGTTTGTTTGTTTGTCCGATCAAAATTCATGAACCCCTTGGGATCGATTCGCATCGAATTTTGGATCTGAGACCTTTAAAGAATGTTCTTGTCTTGGTTTTAAAATTCTAAACTAAAAAGGTTGAATTTTCTAGTTTAGCTTCCAGGCAAGGCTGGGCTTCCAAGCTAAAATTATATATAAATATATTGACGAAAATAAGTATAAAAGAGTAAACAAATATATTCTAGCTAGGTCTAGCTTGATAAACTCATGATCTAAGTATATAAATATATTCTAGCTAGGTCTAGCTTGATAAACTACTGATCAAAGTATATACATATATTCTAGCTAGGTCTAGCTTGATACACTACTGATCAAAGTATATAAATATATTCTAGCTAGGTCTAGCTTGATAAACTCATGATCAAAGTATATAAATATATTCTAGCTAGATCTAGCTTGATAAACTACTGATCAAGTATATATAAATATATTCTAGCTAGATCTAGCTTGATAAACTACTGATCAAGTTTATATAAATATATTCTAGCTAGGTTTAGCTTGATAAACTACTGATTAAAGTATATAAATATATTCTAGCTAGGTCTAGCTTGATAAACTGCCTAAACAAAGTATATAAATATATTCTAGCTAGGTCTAGCTTGAAAAACTACTGATCAAAGCATGTAAATATATTCTAGCTAGGTCTAGCTTTATAAACTACTGATCAAAGTATATAAATATATTCTAGCTAGGTCTAGCTTGATAAACTACTGATCAAAGTATATAAATATATTCTAGCTAGGCCTAGCTTGATAAACTACTGATCAAAGTATATAAATATATTCTACCTAGGCCTAGCTTGATAAACTCCTGATCAAAGTATATAAATATATTCTAGCTAGGTCTAGCTTGATGAACTACTGATCAAAGTTTATAAATATATTCTAGCTAGGTCTAGGTTGATAAACTACGGATCAAAGTATATAAATATATTCTAGCTAGGTCTAGGTTGATAAACTACCGATCAAAGTATATATAAATATATTCTAGCTAGGTCTAGGTTGATAAACTACGGATCAAAGTATATAAATATATTCTAGCTAGGTCTAGGTTGATAAACTACTGATCAAAGTATATAAATATACTCTAGCTAGGTCTAGCTTGATAAACTACTGCTCAAAGTATATACATATATTCTAGCTAGGTCTAGCTTGATAAACTACTGATTAAAGTATATAAATCTATTCTAGCTAGGTTCTAGCTTGATAAACTGCCTAATCAAAGTATTGAAATAAGTTTGTGGCTTTGAAAACAGAACTCCCCCTAAATCATTACGTTAAATATATATTAATGTGAAGATACGGAGAAAGATAGATAAGCCATGAATTACCGGGGTACTCGTAAAATATGAGTTTTTATAAACGATTCAACTCATTTCGCAATGTTTCTAATATTCTTGGTATTCGGCTGTGGGCGTTGGCTGTAGCTTTTTTATTGTGAAAACTTTTTTTTAACTATTTATACACAACATTTGGGGGATCAAAGTTTTCCTTTTTTGGATCTTCTTAAGCTTTAAAGTATATCGACTTAATGAATTTTTTTGTTTTGTCCCAACCCAACCATTTTGAATATTTTATCAATCAAATATCTGCATAAATGAAGATAACTGATTTAGAACATTTTAGCAATCAAATATCTGTATAAATGAAAATAATTGATTTAGAAAATTTTATTAATCAAAAATCTGTATAAATGAAGATAGTCGATTTTGAACATTTTAGTAATCAAATATAAATAAATGAAGATAATTGTTTTAGAACATTTTATCAATCAAATATCTGTATAAATGAAGATAATCGATTTAGAACATTTTATCAACCAAATATCCTTATAATTGAAAATTATTCATTAAGAAGATTTTATTAATCAAATATCTTTATGAATGAAGATAATCGATTTAAAGAACATTTTATCGATAAAATATCTTTATGAATAAAAATTATCGATTCAGAACATTTTGACACAAAATTTGAGCTTGAATAACATTCTATTGGAAAATACACCGGCAATGTATGGAAGTTTAACTGAGGATGTAGGATTCATTTGTAGGGTTTCCAATCGACACTTTTTGCACGAAAATCGTGCAATAATTTTGCAAAAATTTTCTTACGTTTTGATTAAAAAATTTCAATATAATTTTGCATTGATGCGCAAATGCTATTTCGCGCAAATTCTAAAGAAAATCTTGGTTTTTGCGTAATTCGTTGTTTCCTGCTATTTCGTTATTTTGAGCTATTCTTAGGAAATGAATGAAAGGGTTTTTTTTACACAAATTTTTTAGCGATTTCTCAAAACATATTTATCCTTACAAATTTTATTGATGAAAAAAAACTAAAATTTTTAACAGTGTCTAAACTATGAATATGATAATAAAGTAATTATTGTTCATAAATAATATAATGAAGCTATGAAAGAATTGTTTTTTTCTTCACATTTTTTCCTTATTTTCGTATTTATGCACCACATGCCATACAAATTCCAAATTTTCGTTATCATGTGAGCAATGCCTAATTTCGGCAAAAACTATGACCTTGTATTCATGCGCAAAATCATGCAAAAATTATTACTTAAATTTTATATTCATCAATTTCGTTAAAAAATTATTTATTTCTAATGAATGCAAAATTTTGTGCAAGACTGGTTTCGTATTGTCATTTCGTGCAAAAACGTAAAACTCTTGCGCAAGAGAATCTACTGTTTTCTGGAAACCCTTTTCATTTGAGACATCTAAAACATTTTAATGATGTATAATTACTGAGTTTGAGCGCAAAGTCGACGTGCAAAGTCATCCATTTGGATGGTTACGTAGTGAGAATCGATGTTTTAATAATTATTAAATAATTAAAAAATGTAAAACAAATTCTACAGTAAACTAATTGTATGTTTAGGAACATATTTCTTAATTGAAATTTTCTCAAAAAACTGATATTGGAATAAATATTTCGTTTTCATTTCTTATTCAATATAATATATTCAATTGTTCTTACTGAACAAATATGCACCACAATACTACATTCTCAGTTCATCTACCATACATTGCCGGTCACTCCGTTAAGCCATGGGGGGGGGGGTGAAAAAGTAAAATAAGCATAAGCCTTTCTTTGCACATGGATTGAAGAGTTGCATGATCCGAACCAGTACAAGGTCTAATAATCGTATCACTCTATATTTAATTTATTCTTACCTAACAAATGTTTATTTTATCCAATTCTGCGAATAAAACCTTAAAAAGCTGACAATTATCTGGTAGAAAAATAAAATCTTAAAAAGCTGACAAAAAAATAAAATCTTAAAAAGCTGACAATTATCGGGTAGAAAAATAAAATCTTAAAAAGCTGACAAATATCTGGTAGAAAAATAAAATCTTAAAAAGCTGACAAATATCTGGGAGAAAAAATAAAATCTTAAAAAGCTGACAAATATCTGGGAGAAAAAATAAAATCTTAAAAAGCTGACAAACATCTAGGAGGAAAAAAATAATTTTCATAGAGTGGAAGGGGCACGAGCTGCTCCTCTCCCCTCAACTGAATACACTACTGGGACAATAGTTAAAACAAAGCAAATAAGATTATATAAAGAACAATTTAATAAAGGTGAAACTTTGTGTTAATTTTTGTGCGTGCTTTCTAGTCAACAAGAAAGACGCTCTAAGTGGATTGATCCAAGTGAATAATGATGGATGAACGTGCTGCCAGATTACAGCCCCTGGTAGATCAATAAAAACCCATACATCACCAAATCTTCGCAATTGAAAAAAATCCGAGATTTCATTAAAACAACCCGTTCACGTCCTGGGGACTAAAAACATTTCTTTTTAAGATTTATTTTGAAAAGGTAATACACTAATGTGTACAATGCAAGCGACAAAAAGAAGCCAAAATAAATCTAGATTGGTATCAATTTGATTTTAAATTTGTTGTTTAATGAATTTAGCTTCTAATTAACTTATTGTATACTTTTTTTGTTGTGGCAAAAAGGATTTGACATTTTCACATTACTTTCACCCTTGAAATATATAAAATAGTATCTATATATTTTTTATAAAAATGCGTAAATACATCTTGTACCAGAGGCTTTCTTTTGTACAGGGTTGCCCACAAAGGATGCGACTGTAAAGACGACCCAAAACTCTAAAAATATGAGTATTTGAAGCTTGATCTTTGGTTTATGCATTCAATTGAGTTAATTGACAGTTAACTAAAGGATTAACTAAAGGATTAACTAAAGGATTAACTAAAGGATTAACTAAAGGATTAACAAAAGGATTAAGCTCAAAAATAAGAAAATAATCCAGTTTTGACTTACAAGGAACAAGGAACAAGGAAACCTGAATGTAAGAGAACGGACTTAACAAATTTCGTACAATTGTCTCTTAAGTCTCATCCTTTGTGGGTAACCCTGTACAACAGAATTTTTAAAAATAATTTTCACTCATTTAGATTTTTTTTGAAAAGATCAATACACAAATTTAATCGAGAAAAAAGTTGTTAAAATGTTTTTTATAATGAATTTTGCTTTTAATTAACTTGTTGTATACTTTTTTGTTTGTTTGACATTTTCGATAAAATGGTTTCACCCTTAAAATATATAGTATCTTAAAATAGTATTTATATTATCTATAATAGATTCGTAATGTTAAATCTTTTTTATCTAACTTTTTCACAAAAAAAGACATTATTTTAAAGCACATTTATTCCAGTGTATAATCTTATCACATTTAGGCAGGTTTTAAAGCACATTTAGGCACAACAGTTAGGACAGTGTTACAAAATTGCTATATCTAAATCTGAAAGAGATTGTAAAAAATTTCAAATGACCCTCAATTTAAGGATTTGCGAATAATAATGTTATATTAAACCCTTTAGACTGAGTTTTGAGTGGTTTTATGAACAAACTAATGTTTGTTTAATCGGAAAAAGATAAATTCTTCTAAATTCTTCCTTTGCTTACTCTGTGTATAGATCCGCAAGTCACTACTGTTGAACCGCAATTGAAATTTATAAAAACAAGAAATCTCACAACTTTGCTCGGGTAAAGGTTTAGAAAACTCCAATCTGAACAGGACAACAAATTTACTCTCTAAATGGAGGTTTACTTGAAACTTTTGAATGATCCCTTTAAGAAAGAACAACTTTTAGCAAAAAAAAGAATAACAATTACTTTAAAAATGCAGAGTAATATGAATTAAACAAAAAAACTGTTTTGTCCCTCTTTGGATGGATAAACATTTTACATAAAATATTCTAATGTAATTAACAAAATCGTGAATTTGTAAGGACCGTGAATACAATTTTTGGTCTGATTTCAACTAATAAGTTTTATGTTTCTTTTCTTTTAATAGCTGTTTCAATAACGATGGGTAATTATAACATTTTAGAATTGATACGATCAAATTCTAGGATCATCTCCGGATTGTACTAGAACCAGTTCTTAACCAGTTTATGATGTTTGGAATGTACAGTTATTGTTGAACCAGTTTGAAAAGTTAGTCGTATTTCGGTTGAACCAGTTTAAAATGTCAATCGTAATTCGTTTGAATCAGTTTGGAATGTGAATCACATAGTTCGGTTGAACCAGTTCTGAATGTGCATTGTAGTTCGGTTAAACTATGTTAGGAATTGTGAATTGTAGTTCGGTTGAACACAAAACTTAATCTTGGATTCATCTTTGAATCCATTAAACCGTCTCAATCCTTGGAGCCATGATTCTTCTGACAATTTAGCAGTTCTTCTAAAAATATAGAAAAACAAATTAGTCAAAGTTTATGGTTTGTTCAATTGACCGCGGTATTCTATAATTTGTCTAATTAAATAACAATATTGGAAGATTTCGAAGATTTTCTATTAAAAATAATCTTCAAAGTATGTTTATTAATCCTTTATTTTTTTTCAGCAGGAATCGGCGAGTTACTTAAGGAAAAAAGCAACACAATAAAAAACAGTCAATTTTAAGATAAAGGTTTAATGGGAGTGACCGGCAATGTTTGGTAGTTTAACTGAGAATGCAGTTTTGTACAGATTTTTTTAGAACTCATTTGAGATCTATCAGACGTTTTTAGGGTACATATATATTCATTGTTTAGCAAAAGTGCAAATTCAAAATTTAAATTCCTCCTTCATCGTCCCCTCTGGAGAGATGATTTTGAGAATCGGGTTTTTAAAAAATATTTAATAACAACGACGAAAAATGTAACAAAATTCTGAAGTAAATTTATTTGAATTAGAGCTCTGAACAGTAAACAGAGTAAAGAATATATTTTACATTTTTTTCGACAAAACATTATTCTTTACTCTGTTGAGCTATGTCAGCTCTGTAGCCATATTTACCCAAATTTAAACGTTTGCTTTTAAGATTTTTTAGGATTTACTTGGAACAAAATTAAATGTTCACCTAAAGTCTAAAGATGAAAAATTGTTATGAAAATGTGAAAAATGTCTATTGGCTAATTTAATGTACGTTCCGGTGGTTCGTTTAATTTGCATCGATTTTTTTCAGGGTCCAAAATTGACATATGTGTAATGACAGGCAATGGTTTTTAACATTGTTTACTCTGAGCATGTGCTTTTCAAACATTATGCAAAATTTAAACCTGTCAGAAAATAAGGGCAAAAAACGTTCCAAAATAAACCAGCCTGAACCTAAAACTGGTTTGAAATCTTTGCAGTTTTATTAAAAATTAAAATAAAACTATACAACAACTATTACAATGGGAAGGGAAATTTTTCTTTTGGGTCAAAAATGACTCAAAGAAAGGTTTTAAACGATCAGAACTTAAAATATTTTGATTTTATCCAAACAATTGCGATCTAAATTTATTTTAGAATAACCTGCACTGTGCACAGAACCGGTTCTGGGGGACTGTGGTATGACTGAGAATGGTCCTGGTTTATTTTGCAGTACACCAATCAGATTTTCTCTTTCAACCTTGAATTAGTTGGATTTGAATTTCTTTGCCTCAAAATTGCAACATGCAGGATCTCTAGTATTAGGGGACCAAATTACAACATGCAGGTCTAGTATTAGGGGACCAAATTACAACATGCAGGGTCTAGTATATAGGGGACCAAATTACAACATGTAGGGTCTAGTATTAGGGGACCAAATTACAACATGCAGGGTCTAGTATTAGGGGACCAAATTGCAACATGCAGGGTCTAGTATTAGGGGACCAAATTGGAACATGCAGGGTCTAGTATTAGGGGACCAAATCTGAATAATAGCGCGGAGAGCTTAAAACTAACAATAAATGTCATTTCCCCTTTTCAAAACTGAAGAAAACCAAGAAAATTTGTTCCTTTAGGAACATTTTTTTTGTAAATATCTGCATGAAAGCTCTTTCTCTAAATTATAAGGTAAAATCTAAACTTGAAATAAAAAGGTATAAAATAACAAAACTCGTAAATTTGATTAACAAATTAATTTTAACCTCTCTGGAGGCTTCATCCTCAATTCTAGCCTCGGCATTGTCAAACTTCTTCTTTGCAATGACCTCTCTCTTCTTCTGTTCCATATAGTAAGCTCCAAAGTTCTCGACAACTACAAATTAATTTTAAACTTTAAATAACTTATTATTTCGAGTGACGGATGAACCTTTATTTATTAGATGGCATGTCGGATTCACAACAGTACTACTCAAACTTAAATTAACTATTTAAAATTGTATATTTTATGTTGGTCATAACCGAATAAAGTGTGGATTTATGAAAGCAAAAAGTTGTCCGAATTTAACACTTCTTTAAATAAAAATAACGATTTTTTATTGCAACTTTTCCCAGCCTATCTAACAATAAAGATCTTAGGGGATATATAGGCTTACATCGAAAAATATTCGATGGTGATTGCTTCTAATCTTAAAGCTATTTGTTGCGTCTATGAGGAGAAAATTGTTAAAAACGACTCTATACCAAAGAACGTGGCGTCCATAGAAATTCAGAAATTTGCAATATTAAACTCGGATAGTAAAAAAATCAATTTAATTCCAAACAAATCATTCAGATTTAAAAACTTATAATTATCGATTTTTTTTTCGATGCATTCGTATACAGTTGATATTTCATAATATTTTATATTTTCTATGATTCGAGAGTTACTTTTGAAAGCATTCATTCCTGTTTCGAGGACTTTTGGTAACCTACCTATGGGTATAGGAACCTACCTATGGGTATAGGAACCTACCTATGGGTACAGTAACCTACCTATCTGTATAGAAACCTACCTATGGGTACAGGAACCTACCTATGGGTATAGGAACCTACCTATAGTGTACAGAACCTACCTATGGGTGGGGGGACATACCTATGGGTATAATAACCTACCTATGGGTATCGGAAGTGCCATTACAAGAACACCGGAAACACCGCAGCAGGACCCGACAAGCTTCCCCAGAGGTGTTATGGGAGACAGATCACCGTATCCAACCTAGAATAAAACATCGAAATGTGTTAAAAACATTTAAATATAACCAAAGTAAAAATTATTTTTTGTCCAATTTTAAAAAACTAATTTTTTTTTATAAATCTATTTAATTGAAAACTTGATTACTTAAAATTGTCCAAAAAAGGCAGAAAAAAATTTACCGCTTCAAATAACTAACTAACAATGGTCTTTGATTCAATATTTAATATTCAACAGGCCTTTCTTAGTGATAAAGTAATATTAAAAAATTCCCTTTAAAGCACAGTATTAGAGAATTAAAAATATCTTACTTATAATGAAGGCATGCAAATGTGTGTAAAAATTACAAAAAAGACATACAACCTATTTCGTGCACAAAAAAAGTAATATACCATGATTTGAGCTGAAGAAAAAGCATATGTATTTATTTATGAACCCAATAGACCCTCAACTATGTGTAGTTTTGAGTGGCCATCTATGCAAAGATGTCAATGCCCAATTTACAATGATATCCTGAAAAGCTTTGTCTGATTAAGTATAAATTAAATATACATGTTTTTCTTTATTTTTACTGGTTATTTAAATTTGCAGTTTCTCTGCAAATGTGGCTCGTTTTTTTTAGCTAAAATAAGAAATGGAAAAGTAAAGCTTAAGTCAAGACCCGGGTTTTGGATGGCCCTTAAAATTTCATCTCAGGAAAAAGACGATTTATTCTACATTTTTTTCAGATAAAGCTTCATAGAGTATCATTGTAAATCAGAGAGTATCTTGAAATTACCCTTAGAGTCTCTTTAAAGAATATAATTTTATTGACCAACAATCATCCAATAAATAAAACCTTTCATTAATTAGTTCAGCAGAGATGGGAATTAACGAAGTAGAAATGACTATTAATTAACTTTTAACAATTTATAAATTCTAATCTCAGAAACAACAAATATATTCTTTAAAAAATGCAATTCACATATTGTGTATTAATTTTTGGAGTGACCAATGTTATTTTTTCATATTTCCTGTGTTGCAATGTCGACGAAAAGTCAATGAATATGAATCAGAATTCCAATTGCAAAGTTTTTTTAATTAGCTCAATTTTTCATAACAAAGACAACAATTAAAAGCCAATCTTTTACGATTTTTAACGCTAGTGCTGCAGTGAAGATACATTAAAGCTTTGAAAACTGTTTACATTACAACAACAAGGCCTGGACAAAATGGCCGCCATTGCCACGTGGTCTTACCGACGTCATGGTCTGAATAGCCCACCACATGGACTCAGGAATAGAAGTGTACTTGCTACCTGGGAAGTCCTTTTCTACAAAGTAGGCTAAACTGAAAAAATGTTTAAATAGACACAGTCCCTTACTTATCCATTTTATTTTTGAGCCCATGGTTGTCAGATATGCCTGGTTCAACTAGTTTAAAATTGTCTGAAGTAAAAATGCACAAATCTGGATGAAAGAATATTGCTTATATGAAAATTGTAAAATATGTAAAATGTAAATTGTAATTACATGCATGAGTATGAGGACTTTGTGTTAAAGAAATGGGTCTAAGATAAATGTTTTAAAGAGATACCCCTTCAAGGGTTTTCTAAGATGCAATGATGAAGATATCTATGTATAATGTCAGGGGTGTATATTTTCCTAAAAATTATTTCCCCCCCTTTCAGAAAATCATTTACCCCCCCCCCCTTTAAGATTGAAGGGAGTGCTAATTTTCTATGCGGTATTTCACTGTATAGGGGAAATTAAATTTTTCCATGGGGAAGGGGGGTGAAATTCTTAAAAAAATATACACACTGGTATAATGTTTTTCTTTCGAATGAATGAAAAATCGCTAATTCAAGATGGTCTAATGATGTGAATAGTTACATGCAAAATCTTGTTTAAGCTGTTAAATTTTTATGATAAAAAAGAGGATTAAAAAAGCAGCAATAGTCCTGTAGGAAGGCTACGTCTTTTGAATTCATGCTTTCAAATGAAGATACATTTTTTAAAGATTCTTTATAAGTAAAATTTTCAAAGGATTCTTATATTTGAAAAAAATAAAGGTAGATATAAACTATACAGGGTGAACTTAAAGTTCTAGAAATAAGAAAAAGTTAAAAGAAATTATAACGCTCTGAAAATAAAATGTTGCAATTGTTGATAAAGCTCCTGAAAATTATTGAACTAATTAATGAATCCATTTCTAATTGCAGTTTAGAATTTTCTCTCAAACTTGTTTAATTGTTATTAAATGTAAAATGAACAATTTCATACTCTAATAACTTTCTATGATCTGGGCAATATGCATCGTTCTCTTTAAATATTGTTGATAGGATCCTGTTTCAAAATTATATTCTCTACAAGTTTGCTTTTATTATGTATTCTTATTCTAACAAAATATCAACTAAATAGATTTTGCCAGTTTTTATTTGGTGTTGGTCATACAGGCGTACGTCTTTTGTCAGAGTATACATTTTGATAATAGCAAACCTTCAGATAATAAAATTTTGAGGTATGATTAAGAAATCAAATTCTTAAAAACCTTTCAAGAAGACTACCGTTTTAATTTCAAGCAACCCTCCCTTTCAAAAAGAGAGGTATTCACTATTCTCAACGGTTTCCTTTAAGCCTTTATGTGATCAAGAAATAATCGTTTAACTTTAAAAGTGTTAAATTTTCTATGACAATTTTCTTAATTGTTTCTGCAGATGAAAACTGCAATATAAACATTAATTGAGAAACTTTAATTGACAAATATCAAGTATCAAAAAGAAAAATTTGGATATTTTTCTTCATTCTTGATGAGACACAGCTTTTCAGGATACCGCTATACATCTGTGAATTAATTGTTACTTGAAATTTCCGTCTACAGTCCCTTCCACCTTACCTTCCAAATATAAGCATTCCCATCCCAACAAACAGGAGAAGGAGAGACAGCTCCTTGTAACTGCTCTTCATTGTGTGAGCAATTGCCTGAAAATATTGCTCTTCATTGTTTGAGCAATTGCCTGAAAATATTGCCTCTCAGGAGCAATGTGAATTTGTCTCAAGAAATTCTTTATTTTGGTCAGTATCCAGATAAACCATTTTTAATGAAAATGGTTATAACCATACTAATTATCTTTATAATGATAATAACATTGATGAAAATAATGATAACAATAATCATACAAATAATAATAATTATAGACAATAATTATAATTATAATAATAATGACAATAATAACAATAATAACAATAAAGATAACAATAACATTTTTTTATATCGTTTTTGTTTCTTAGTTGTAAACTTGTAATTTTAGTCCAAATCATACATTTACGCATATTGTAAGCATATTTTGAAAATGAAAACTTAAAAACATCCTTTCAAACTCTGAGTAAGATCAATGTTCTGAGAAAATACAAATTATGTTTTGAAAGCTACCTGTAATCCAGTGGAAGATCTCTTGAAAGCTACCTGTAATCCTTTAGAAGATCTTGAAAGCTACCTGTAATCCTGTAGAAGATCTCTTGAAAGCTACCTGTAATCCTGTAGAAGATCTCGCCAGTTTAAAGATTCTCATTATTCTCGCAATTCGGAACACCTACCCATTCAACATTTGGATATTAGACTGTTTTTTTCTTTGGTTTTTTCTTTATGTTTATCTTTTTTATTTGTATACCCTCTATAATTACAAGAACAGTTCAAAGCAAAAAAAGCAATTTAAAAAAAAAAAAGATTAACTTTCAATTTTTTAACTTTACTTTTGGGTTCGTTTTGACGTTTTACATAAATCAAATTAATTTTCAACAAAATTAAACCGTTAAAAATAATTTAGTTTACAGAATTTTTTGCAGCAGTGCAACGGCACAACATCTTGAAAAAACAAGGCCCTAGACTAAATATTTTGCGGCTTCTGTGCACAACACCTTAAAAAAACAAGGCCACTGACTGAATCTACCTGAATCACTCTTGACATATCTTCAAACTCAGTTTCGTTGGACTCTGGCTCTGGAGTAGTGGTTGTTGTACTGTTCCCCGGTAAAACCAGTACCAGTCCCAGGTTATCCTGTACACAGATTTATGTACAGTATTTCAAATTTCCATATTGTGCAGTGTACATTACATTTATATTCTGCAGGCTGTACTTACATTTATATATTTGTCACTGCATACTTTACATTTATGTACTGTACAATGTACTTTACATTTCTATACTTCAAAGCGTACTGTATTTATATACACCGAGTAAAAAATATTCTCTACTCTACCTATATAAATTTTTTTAACATAGTTTATAAAATTCTTGATTAATAGCCTTGACAATTAAAACATTACTTGTGGAAAAGATTTTTTAAGAATATCTTTGAAAAAAACCAAAATCTTAAAAGTATTTTAAAAACTAATTTAAACCCGGAGAGTAAGTAGAAATTACATTAAATTTAGTCAGGTTTATAAAAGCTGGAAATAATTCTATTCAACAACATAAAAGCAAATACTTAACCATAGAGAATAGAATATATAGAGAGGAATTTAATGGAAAAAAGTGTAACACGGCCATTTTGTTGTACTGTTTCCATACTGCAGGTGTACTTCACATATTTATGCTATATAACCTGGGCCCTGGAATATCATTTTATAGAAAATCTAAAATTATTGTTAAAAGAAAACCAAATTATGAAATAGGCTGGTTTCATAATTGACCAATGATCATTTCACGTAGACTCTATGCCTTCCACTTTACAAACGATGATTTTCCGTTATAACTATAAATAAAATGATGTTTTTATTCACCTAATTCATTATAAAGTTTATTTAACAGTTTAAAAAATTCGAAATTGAAATGGATAGTCTAGGGAACATACTGTATTAATGTACTCTACTGCATATAATTTGTGAAAATTTATATGATTTGTACACTTTGAACTCCCTTTCAGGCTGAAAGGGACTGAAAAAAATCAGACCGAGAGATTCTTTTAATTCCTCTCTATATATTCTATTCTCTATGTACTTAACAGGTCTGTCATACTGCATACATTACATATATTTCTATAGTTTGATAAATGATGTAACGAATCTATTATACTTCATATATGATGTATGTATACGTAATAAACTAAACAAAAGAAGGCTGAAAATAAAGGATTCTAATGAACCCTCAGAACTCAAATAATTCAATAAACTTAATCGAAAACATGACAAATAACTTTTTAAACTTTCATATTAGCTGCTTTATTTTTTAAGAGAAAGAAAAGAGTATTTACAAAAATAAGAGGTTATTCATTTTTTGTGCAATCAATAAAACATTTCACCAAATTTAATTAATTTAAACTATCTATGCCTGGTTCAAAGATGAATCGCAGATCCCCTGCTTTTTGGAGTTTCTTGGAGCAAATATTATTTAATTTTTGGATCTTTGAAGAGCAAATATTTCCTGCTTTTTGGAACTATGAGAAGCAATTAATTTCTAGTTTTTGGGGCTTCTTGGACCAAATATTTTCAGTTTTTTTTGGAAATACATGGGGCAAATATGTCGTAATTTTTAAAGCTTTGTGAAGCAAATATTTCCTGCTTTTTGCAGCATCGTGGAGCAAATATTTTCTAAACTTTGAAGCTTTGCGAAGCAAAAATTTCCTAGTTTTTGGATCTTTGAGGAGCAAATATTTCCTGCTTTTGGGAGCTTTGTGGAGCAAATATTTCCTGAATTTTACCTCCTCCACAAATATCAGGGAAAGGTAGTATGGTAGAATTGCTAGGACATCAATTACATTCATTGGTCCCTTCAAGAAATGCCATTTGTTGGGAGCTCCTAGAAAAAAAATCACGTTGAAGGATTCAACATTTATAAGAGTCTTTTCTTGATTAAAGGGAGTGTTCGCAATCTTACTTCTATCTGTTGCGTCTATAAGGAGTAAATTGTTAAAAAAGACTTATATCGAAGAACGTATCGTCCATGTACATTGAGAAAGTTGCAACATACTACTCGGATCATAAAAAAAATCAATATAATTTCAAACAAATCATTCAGATATTACAACCTACAGTCATCGATTATTTTTTCAAGGTAATTGCAAATTGTTAATATTTCATAATATTTTTTATTTGTTTTGTATACAATGCACTTAAAACACAGAAATAGTTGGCCCCCAAGTGTCTCTGCTCTCAATGCTTTGAATGATTAAACATGGCACACACCAAGTGGAAAAAGGGTCGCTTTAGTGCATTGTATATAAAACAAATAACAAATAGTATTACATATTAACTATATACAAATGCGTCGAAAAATAATCGATGACAATGGATTGTAATATCTAAATGATTTGTTTAATTTTGAATTAATTTTTTTACGATCTGAGTCGTATGTTGCAACTTCCTCCATTTACATGGACGCTACGTTCTTCTGTACAAGTCTTTTTAAACAATTTTTTCCTTATAAAAGCAACAGATAGAAGTAATATTAGTAGCGTTCAAAATCAATTATTAATCGCCGTAAGCCTATACCCCCTTTCATTTTTTGCGTTTACTCCCTTTAAAAGAAAAACTGGTTCATTTGGTGTACCGTCCTGTTTAGCCTGGTATAATCTACATGTATATTGTACAGCCTGCTCTAGCTGGTTATAGATTGTTCTTGAAATGAGCACAACTTAACAGTGAGGGATAACATTAAATGCGGGGTAAGCATTTATTTTAAATTTAAAAGTTGGATGTTGATGTCAAGATTTCAATAATAAGGATACTTCAAACCAAGGTTAAAATGCAAGGAAAGTTAAATGCGGTTGCGTATACTCTGCGTACATATTGAAACCAGTTCTCTCTGGGCGGAATTTGTAAACAAGAAGAGATGCATCAGTGTTCGTTTAGTATTCGAGGAGGTTAATAGAATTAAATTTTGACAATTTTGATAATTCACATAAAAGTTTCCTATGACCAGAATATTTCATTGATTTTTTATTTGAAAGATGGATCCCATGTCAGGCTTTGACATCCGCCTTGTGTTTACATTACCCCCCAGAGACAGTACACTGCAGTACAAAAGATGCACACACCTCTGAAATAACTTTCCTTGCATTATACCCTTGCTCCAAACAAAGGTTCCGACCTAAGATAACTTAAAATCAAATTAAGCATGTAACTAATAATTGGCTGGTTTACTTAAAATGACGCGGAAAGTTTTATAATATTTAAAGGTTTGTACTCTCCTACCTGCCAATCTTAGAAAATATTCCAAGGTGAACCAGGCAATGCAAACTGCCTCAATCAATGCAAAATATGCATTATCAACAACTTGATCATCAACCTGCAATATATATCCCTAGTTACAGAAGTGCGCAATTTTAACGTGTGTTACATAAATTGTTTAAATTTCAAAGTAGTTATCTATATATTTATACTTTGCTCGTCTGTCTGTTTGTTTGTTACCAATAAAATTCAAAAAGGCTAAACCGATTTGGTCCAAATTTTGTGTTGGACCTCACATGGCCCAGGGAAGGTATTTTTAACTTTGATAATTTATTTTTGGATAAGGGTTGTGGGCACAAGCTCACGCATACAAATAAAAACGAAATATCAATAAATCTATTTCCAGTTTGTTATCAAAGTCTTTCTATTATTTTGTTCTGCTCAAGATTAGTTAAAAGTCATACACCCCAACGTTTTGTGTTGCGCCATTGTCTTAAAAACTTGACTATGGGTTACCCTGTAAACCATAGTGAACACTTATTTTGCGCGGGCTGATCTTGCTTCCTTTTTTCCTTAGGCTTAACTATTTGGTTTGGTTAATAATATGATTTTTAATAATCGCATTAAGCGTTATTTGCCAATGACTTGTAGAAAGCTGGATTTTCAAACATAATTGAGTCATGTTCTTTTGTCCTTTTCTCAGTCAGTCATGAAAAGTAAAAAGAAAGAAATTAGGAAATTTTTTTTTCCTTTTAAGAAATGATTTTGTTTCTTTTGTCTTTTCTCTTCCATCTAACCTTTCCTATCTTTTTTGTTCTCTGTGTTCACTGGCTTCGTAAAAATTCTCTCTCAAATTATCCTACTTAACTCTTCCTTACTTACTAGTGCTATCCTTTCTGCACTTTAATTGGATCAGCCTGTTCCCAGGGAAGGTATAGTGGGCCGTCAAAAAAGAAAAAATTATTCCTGGAAAATTGTTAGATTATTTTAATGCGCTAATTTGAAAAGAAAAATTTGCCAAAATACTACATAAACTCGATGGCGTTGTCTAATCCTTTTTTTTACTAAATTATTATTATTATAAAGATTTATTCACACACAAAGATATAAATACATTTATAAATGGTGTTGTTTAAATTCGTTTAAATAATTTGAATATTTAGTTTTACAAAAGAAAAAAGAAAAATACGCAAAATTATGCACAAATAGGAGACATTTATGATTACTCATTACATAACATATTTATCATTTCAGTTATTACGTAATCATCGAATCCTTCAACATATAAATTATTCGTTCTTGTATTTAAAAGTTCTTGTAAAACCGGAACTTTCCATGCATGGTCCAATGGGACATTAAAATATTTCATTTGATTCATAACTAACATTTTACTAAGAATAGTTTATGATTTGATTAATTTGGTTGTATTTTCATGTATTTAGTTAGATATCTGATATCTCTTGATATTAGACAATTTCTTTCGGATGTTGTAATTTTAAAACTTGGGAAGCTGCCACTTGGGAAATTGTATATTTGGGAAGTTTTCACTTGGGAAGTTGCTGTTTTGGAGAAGGCCGTTGGGAAAGTATATAACATCTTTTTCATACTATTTTTTTACTGTTTACACAGATAAAAGGATGAAAAAGCCTCCAATACAATAATAATAACTGTTAATAAAAGATTGAAAAAAATAGGTTTTTACTGAGAAAATACAAAATAGTTTCTAAAGATAAAATTGCCAATTAAAATAAACGAAGAAAATTTGATTGATCAGTTCCGAAAATAAGTTTGTTATCCGTCTTTAATAATATGTTAATGAAAGATTGAGCAAATTATCTTTTTTTATTCATAAATACAAAATTGACAATTTTACCTTTCTTAGGAAAATATTGTCAATTAAAATTAACGAAGAAAATTTGATTGATGAATTCCAAATTTAATAAATTGTTATCCATCGTTTGGATGTATCGATAAAAACAAACATAACCCTTCCCCCCCCACTTCACCCAAATAAAGTTAAAATGAACCAATCTTTTCATTTTTATGTATATTATACTTAATACTGCATTTGTGCAGTATTAATATCATAAAACTTTCCTTAAAAAAAGGTATTTTATTTAATCATCTGATTCTGTAATATTATATTCTTATCCAAAACGTTTTTTATATATGTAAGAAATGAATTCTGATATTTTACCTTATTCAACACTACATTCTCACAGTTCAACTACTATTCCCTAGCTAGTCACTTCCTTTTATAACATCTTATGATCTTACCTCGTGTTTAAACTCAGGCATTGTGTTGAGACACATTCCTACCGTAGAAATAAGAACAAGAGAGATGGAGAACAAGGATAGAATCTAAATTTGGAAAAATCTACTAATTTACAAAATTGGAAACTCCACAAAAATCATTGTATCTTCAATGATTTAAATTCAATTTGCTGATGAAAAATTCTAAGATATCATAAATAAAAACCATAAGGGAAAAAAACTAAAAAAAAGTCCGTTACTTTTTAATTAAAAGATAGATGAATGTGTTAGTACACATTTTTGGGACGAAAATTAGAAACAATTTAAACATGGTAATAAATAAAATTCAAAATTTCTCACAACCAGATCCCGCCCTTCACCCCCCTCCCCCACCTAATCTAATACCTTTGCAAAAATAGAGGAATTCGGTTTCTCCATCAAATCCCATAAACATTTCTGATACCTGAAAAAAAATTATCAAAAACAAAAATAGAGAAAGGAAATTCATCATGTACAACAAAATTTTACATCCAGAGATTTGTAAATCATGAGAATAAAAGCAAAATCACATAAATTTCAAGCCACCAAAATTAGCATTATCATTTATCAATTTAAAGTTAAAAATTTGCAAATATTGAGTCATTCAAAAGATATACTTTATTCATTAATCTGTTTTACTGCCAATGATATCAATGTGTTTAACATCTTCAAACTTTTTTATCGGAAATCAAAAAAAGAAAAAATGAAAAAATTCCCAAAAATATATTTGTAACCTGGCACACGGTCCCTCACCGAAGTATTCCTGATCTACTACTGTTGTGTTAACCTGCAAATATTACAATCCTATATTTTAAAATTAATCTGATTTGTGTCTTTTGACTTTCGGTTTTTAACAATAAACCATTGCTAACAATCAACCATTGATAACAATCAACCATTGATAACATTCAACCATTGATAACAATCAACCATTGATAACAATCAACCATTGATAACAATCAACCATTGATAACAATCAACCATTGATAACAATCCACCATTGATAACAATCCACCATGGATAACAATCAACCATTGATAACAATCCACCATTGATAACAATCTACCATTGATTACAATCAACCATTTATAAAAATCAACCATTGATGACAATCAACCACTTTTAACAATCAACATTCATAAACGAATAAAAACATGCATCAATGATAACCCCTGATAAAAATCAACATTCATAACGATCAATAATTATAAAATTTTTGCACATATTCAAAATCTTCGGAAAATTTCCGATTTATAGACTATTTAGACAAGAATTAAAAGTTTGTAGCACACAAATTAAGGTAGTAATGGAAGTTTAAAGCTTGCCATTTTGGCTTGGTTGAAATTGTTGCATATAATACCCATTCAGTAGTTAAGTATTACAATTTTTAAAGAAATACTCGCATCCTTTGATATACAACATCAAATTTATGAATTTAGTCTATATTTTAATGTTTTGTATTTCATATCCTTAAATATCCGGCCCTGTATTCTAATTGGTCGTGTACTCCAGTTGTACACAATGGAACGCATTGCAGAAAATATCGCATATTCTAAAGCTTTTTATAGATGTCTGCACTCTGTTATCTGTGGTATCAACGGATCGTGAATGTTACATGGATTTTGACAATTCTGGGACACTCTGTACATTGTCTGAATGGAACGAGTTTAGTATGTACAAAAAAATCTGTTGAAGATTTTTGATCACAAATGATTTAAAATAAATTAAGATCTTTTTCACAAGTCTTATTGTTCAATAATCTTACCTTAGAATTCTTTTTCACTTCTTCCACAACATGTTCCTTTGTTCCTGTATACTTACCCTCACAACACGGCTAAAAATACATTCTTTTTAAAGTCAAATTTATTAAAGATTTATGAGAGTAATTACTAAAACAAAATAAATAGATTCAATTTTATTTAATATTTTTAATTCTGCACAGAAAATATAAGTTCCTGGATATTGAATTGAAAATTAAGATTTTTTTTATAAAAAAATATTTTATAAGAAAAAAGTAGCAAACATTTTCAAAATTATTGATTTCTTCTGTTTTAAACAGCGTGTTGTTGGTACACGGTCGGTCGTTCGACCCTACCTGCCCCTTTGCCATGGCCATTGCATGCAAAGATGGCAATGTTCAATTTACAATGGGACTCTTAAAATTTTTGTCTGAATTTAGTATGAATTAGATATCCATGTTTTTGTTTCTTTAAACTATTTTTTTTAATTTGCGATTTTCTACAAAAAAATGACTTGCGCAGTTCTTTCCCATTTTTGATTAGATTAGGGTTCAAATGTAGCGTTGCATATCGGGGTTGCCATCTTTGCACAGAAGGTCACTTAAAATTACGCGTACAGTTCCTTTAAATCCTTCAGAAATGAAACTAGCCAAGAATTTATTGTAGATGTAACTAAATTTTTAATATTATCCTTAGATTTAGATTTAGGGTGGACAAATTCGAACATTTTTCAATACGTTCGTTGGCTGTTTATTCTTAACGCTACCGTTTATTTATTTGTAAATAAAGTTGCCGTTCATTAACGATCTCGATTTATAACGGACTAAACGACGTATAAGTTGTACTGTTTATATTGAATAGGATTGGGGTTTTAACTTTCAAAAAAATAAACTCAAAATATATTGATATTTTAAACTTTGATTATTTGATTTAAAATAATTTGTAGTTTGATTTAACAAATATTTATGATATTTTGTTGCAAAGATAAAGGGATTAGAAAATCTGAGTTTGTGCCTGAGACTAAATATTCTTTTATTTTTTCTTGAATTATTGTGATAGAAATATCCATAGAGAATAGAATATATAGAGGAATTAAAAGAATCTCTCGGTATGAATTTTTTCAGTCCCTTTCAGCCTGAAAGGGAGTTCAAAGTGTACAAATCATGTAAATGTTCACAAATTATATGCAGTAGAGTACATTAATACAGTATGTTCCCTAGACTATCCATTTCAATTTCGAATTTTTTAAACTGTTAAATAAACTTTATAATGAATTAGGTGAATAAAAACATCATTTTATTTATAGTTATAACGGAAAAACATCGTTTGTAAAGTGGAAGGCATAGAGTCTACGTGAAATGATCATTGGTCAATTATGAAACCAGCCTATTTCATAATTTGGTTTTCTTTTAACAATAATTTTAGATTTTCTATATAATGATATTCTAGGGCCCAACAGGTTATATAGCATAAATATGTGAAGTACACCTGCAGTATGGAAACAGTAAAACAAAATGCCCGTTTTACACTTTTTTCCATTAAATTCCTCTCTATATATTCTATTCTCTATGGAAATATCTAACCTCTAGATATATATCATCAATCATCCAGTAATCCAGATCTTGGCTGAAATCCATCACACACAGCTCTTCCAGTACATACAGTTTACCAATCCTGTACAATGTAAATACAGTTTACAATCCTGTACAATGTACATACAGTTTACCAATCCTGTATAATGTACATACAGTTTACCAATCCTGTACAATGTACATACAGCTTACCAATCCCGTACAATGTAAATACAGTTTACAATCCTCATATTGTACATGCAGTTTACCAATCCTGCACAATGTACATGCAGTTTACCAATCCTGTACAATGTATATGCAGTTTACAATCCTGTACAATGTAAATACAGTTTACAATCCTCATATTGTACATGCAGTTTACCAATCCTGAATTCGACATATATAGGTTGTAATATCTTAATACTTGATTTTAAAACCAAATCAATTATTTACAATCTAAGTATAAAATAATGAATTTGTAAGGGTTCTACGCTCTTTGATATGAGTCGTTTTTAACCCGTTTCTCCTTATCGTGCAACAGAAAGAAGTAAGATTAGTAGAAATCACCATCGAATTATTTTCAACGTTAAAGCCTATACCCCGTGTCATGTTTCGCGGACATCCCTTTAAGGACCGTTAGTTTACAAATCCTGTATACGCTTGTTTAGTACTTGTAGACTGTAATGAATAAGTCCAGGGTCGGATACAAGGGGGGGGGGCGGGGGACATTCGCCCCCCCCTGACAGATTCAGGGAGGGGCGTAGCCCCCTTTGAGATTTCGAGGCAAAATTTGTTAAATGTTATTTTTAACGATAAATTTATAATTAGAAATTTGTAAGAAACTAGACTTAAGTTATAATATTGTTCATATCTATTAATGCTCCTTAATCAATACTCATTTATCAAAATTGTAATATTGTTCCTAATTTTCATGCATTTAAGTATAACTAGTAATTTCTTTTTGTTCTTAAATTGCTAATGTTCCTATTATTGTTCCTGTTCCTA